GGTTTGCTCATGCATCCTTCATAGCCTGATTTATAGATGATTTTATCCCTGAAAACATGGCAAAAATTGATTTTTTTCCCCCCTAGCTGTTGACTGCATTTTCTGATTTATAGAGTGATAAAGAGAGATATCCAAAATCCCCCCTGCAGACTCCTAATATGTCACCAAATGAAACAAGAATTTTGAATCATTCAAGTTTTAGATTTCTGTTCTGGAATTTAATGCAAATCGGTGCATATTTAATGAGGAAATGGCTCATTTGCATATTTAAAGATACAGTATCAGAAAAACTTACAATCAGCTGAGGAAGTTTCATGTTGATATCTAGTCTCCGTTTAACAATATCTGCGTTTTTGGACATGCAGGCTTGTAGGTATCTGAAAAAACAAACCTGAAATGATGAAATATTCAGCGTCTTTGTGACAATAAGTTGAGCTGGTGTACTGTTTATCAAAGCTTATGTCTGCAGCCCCCAGTGGCCTCCCCTTGCATCCTCCTCCTCCGCCCGAACAGACCACCAGGACGCCTAACAACTGCAGTTATTGATCTTGGGGTAAAACCACAGGGTGAGCCGTAATGGGCCAAAGTGACAGAGATATGTGTGTAAACGCACCGCGCCTGACACCGGCTGGACAAAATCAGTTTTCACGTACCAGACGATGGAAGTCGCGGTCCCGGGGATCCCTCTTTTTAAAAAAAAAGACGTGGCTCAGAATGACACTCGGTGGCGTGGAAGCTCTGCTCGCTGCAGCCTCGGGCAGATTTGGGTCAAGCAGTGGCAAACGCTCGGTGTCGTGCACGTAGGAGGAAGGGAAGCCCTGTCATCACGTCTTAAGACACGAGTTTAAAAAAAAAAAGAGCTCGTGTGTGAGCGGAGACGCTGTTTGCTCAGGTGGAAAAAGATGAAGGAAGAGGCCCCGTTGCAGGCTGCAAAATGCTTCAGATGCAGAAAACCTTGATGCCAATGAGCAACAGATCCACGACTTCTCTTGCACAAATGGGCCTGGCTGTACAAAATAGAGAAAATTCGCAGCATGCTTGCTTTCCTGCTCCACAGTTGTCAAACAGTGGCTGCTTATGTAAGACGCCGACGATCTGCTACACAACTGTTGTTTATATTGACAGTTGTTACTGTTTTCCTTTCTATGCTATAGTATTTTGTTTCCCCGCGTTTTCCTCTTTTTTTTTTCTCACTTCCTTGCTGCAGAGATTTCAGTACAGCTATTCAATTTCACTGTGCCATCTGCGAACGCCGTGTTTCACTTTTCCATCAGAATATTAATTCAGTTTGTGCTATAGAGG